TTATGAGCAAAATCTGAGGTTTCCTGAAGAAGAAAGAATTCTGCCTCAAGACTAGAAATCTTGCCTGAGTGTCCAGCCTTTAGGCCAGATCCCATAATATTGTGAGCCAATTCCTTAAAATAATCTCTTCATATGCATGCGTGTGTGTGTGTGTATAACTACATATATAATATATATGTATATATGCTTATATATATTATATATTTATAAATAAATATTATATATTTATATATGTATATATATGTGTATACACATATATAATATGCAAACACGCTCACACAGTATACATATACATCCTATTGGTTCTGTTTCTCTGAAGAACTCTGACGGATAAAAATTGCTAAAGTTCTTTATACATTTATATATTCTGAATACTAGACCCTTATCAAATATATGAAAATAGAATCCATGTTTGGTTAAGCCACTTCAGCTGAGTTTGTTACATGCAGCCGTAAGATCCTAAATGAATCTCATAAGGGTTTTAGAGAATCAGATAGGATAATGCATGTAGAACAATTAAAACAGTGCTTAATACATAACTCAGTGTTATTATTATTTTCACACATCTGAATTCATTTAGAGAAATGAGCCCTGCTCACTGAGGCTTAAAGATATTATTCATTATTCAGTAAATGCTTATGAATTCCTATTATGTATAACACACTATATGATGCAAGGTCAGCTTCATAGCATGCGGTCTGTGCAGTCATACAGGGCCCTGTGCCTGGTTTAATGCTCTGTTGTCATCATCTTAAAATTCTTATCAAGTCTTGAACAAGAGGCTCTGCATTTTTATTTTGCACCGGGCCCTACAGATTATGTAGCCACTCCTGTTATAATGAATAGAAAATTCTTTTTGCTCAGAACAGTAACTGTTGCTAAAAATTACCATGTGTTATTCAGAAAATAAAAATTTTTGCTGAATATACTCTGTTTCAGAAGACTGAGAAATATACAGAAATATCTTACCAAACACAATGTAAATAAATGAAGTTTTGACATGTAACAGGTAAGCTTACATTATTTGAAAAATTCACTTATTTAGAACAGTCAAGTGCCTGATAAATGAAATATCAATATATTTTGCAATAACAAGAAAGAGAGAAACTGTAGGTTTTGTTATGGTAGTAGTTATTAGGGGTTGGGGAGTTTACACTGCTGAGGTTTTGGGGGTTATGAAATAAAATTTTTGAATTAGTTATCTTCTCCCCAGTTATTATTGGTTACATACAGGAGCTCGCTGAGAGACATTGGACAAGTTGCTTAACTTCTCTAAATCTTAGTTTCTCTTTCTGTAAAAATGAGGATAACATACAGCTCACAAGTCTATGCAGAGAATCAGATATTTAGCACTGTGTCATATGAGGTACAATAAATGTGCTTTTCTCTGAATTTTCTCTTTCAAAGATGTATTGAGCACGTACTATGTGCTATGCCTCATTCTAACCATTCTGGACGTGTAGCTGGGTAAAGGTCCTTGTTCTCAAGGAGATTATATTCTAGTAAAGAAGGACATGATAAGTATGAAGAGAGATAAATATAATCACTTCAGGCTGCAATAAGTGTTAATGAAGGTTAAATGGGTGGGGGGCTGCTCTAGCTAAATGGGGGGGCGGTCAGGGAAAAGCTCTCTGGGAAGGTGATGTGTGAATTGAGATCTGAAAGACGAAAATGAGGAAGTCAGGTGAGGATCCCAGACAAGCACATTCTTAGCGAAAGGCACGGCAAGAACAAAGGTCCCGAGAGTGAAATGAGCTTGGCTTTTGTGGAGACGGTGACCAGAGCACAGGAGTCAGGGAGCGGGGTGGCCTGTGAGAACAAGAGGACAGACAGGTGCCAGGTCAGGAAGGGCTTTGAGGACCAAGGACAGCAATTTGAATTTTATTCTGGTTCACAGAAAAGCCTTTGGAGGGTTTCAAGTAGGGAAACTCTATAATCCAATTTTATGCTTCAGGAAGATTCCTCTAGCTGGCTGCTCTGTGGAGGACTCAGAAGGACTGAAGGTTGGCAAGAGTGGTGGCAGTGACCACTTACTGGGGGTGTTGCATTAATCCAGGAAAAGGAAGATGGGGGCTTCGACTATGGTTGTGGTCTTAGGAGATGGTAAGAGGTTGGATTTAGGATATACTTCGGAAGCAGAACTGACAGGACTTACAGTTGGACTGAATATAAGGGTTAGGAAAGGAGAGAGCTTTTCGTTTTTCCCTGATGAAAAATTTAATACATGTTCACTATAGAGAACTTGGAAAATTCAGGAAAGTATTCAGCAGGCTACCTGTTTTAATATGTAAACTTAGCTTTTTCTCGCACAAGAAGAAGTCTATTATTATTGTTACCCTTTTGAAGATTTCGGTGTACCTTAGCTTATTAGAGGCCTGGGGGATTATTCAAGTTAGAAAACAGAGAGAGAGAGGGAGAAGGAGAGGGAAAAAAAATACCTGTTTCACCCTGTTTAATACAGACTTTCCTAACCTTAGTTGAACTTTTAATTTTTTTGGTGGTTGTTTTGTATAACATCTACTATCAGCTCTATCAATGATCACCAGAAAACAAGATCTAATACTGCACTGGATCTTTTCCTCTCATTTCTCACTGTTTCCCTTATGTATAGAGTTAGATTTGCAGGTTCTAAACTCAGGACCGTTTACTGAGTGCACCAACACAGTTCTTGCGCTGGCTTTATTCCTTCTCTTAATATTCTAGGAGGCAGGGACTTCCCTGGTGACACAGTGGCTAAGAACCCGCCTGCCAATGCAGGGGACACGGGTTTGAGCCCTGGTCCAGGAAGATTCCATATGCCTCAGAGCAACTAAGCCTGTGCACCACAACTACTGAGCCTGTGCTCTAGAGCCCGCGAGCCACAACTACTGAGCCCGTGTGCCTCAACTACTGAAGCCCACATGCCTAGAGCCTGCACCCCACAACAAGAGAAACCACCATGAATGAGAAGCCCGCACACCGCAACGAAGAGTGGACCCCGCTTGCCACAACTAGAGAAAGCCCGTGAGCAGCAACAAAGACCCAACGCAGCCAAAAATAAATAAAATTTAAAAAATATATATTCTAGGAGGCACATGGTGTCTGGATTACATTGTTCTATAGTATTTTCAACTGTCTTGCTAATCCACTGCTGTTTCTTCTAACAGTTATTCTTACAAAAGCGGTAGGGAACTTGTATAAAATTATGTTTAAAATTGACATTGTCTTCCAAATATCTTATTTTTCTCTTAATGGAGAAAGTGACAGCCAGTGGAATATGAACTACATTGATAACATACAACTAGTAGCAATGAAAGAAACTGAGTTTTAAACTTGAGAATGCACATCTAAGGTGTTTATAAATTTATACAGTCAAATGTCCTTAATTTAATGCTCCATTTAATTTGTAATTTGGGAGCAACAACACTGGGTATTTAGTGAGGTTCCAAGTATCCAGGGCAGGGGTTGGGGGAGAGGGAGATGGTAGAACAAAAATATTTCCTTTGTCTTTTATGACTTGAAATTGTCTAAAATGTGATGAAGAAAAAATACCTCATTTAAAAAATATATTTTGGGATAGGTATTGGTAATAATAATTAATAATGGGTGCTTTTATGCCCCAGAAGCAATTGGTGCTGCTTGTCCCATTAAGGTGGACATGGTGAGCCTTGATTATACTCAGCTTAATTTGAAGATTTTAATAAAGGAAAAAATTTGTAGGAAGTGTGGTATATTATCATACTTAAAACAGCCAATTAAATTAGTCTCCTGATACCGGCTACTTTATAAATTCATTTATCACACAAGTTATTCTGACCTTTCCACCTCTTCCTGGATAAGGATGGTAGCAATTTCCCAGTAGCAAAATTATTGATTTTTTTTTTTTTTTTTTTTTTTTTACAGAGCTTCTTTTCCAGTTTGAGTTTCCTTTCTTTCTGCACTTCTATTCTTGAATCCCCTTCTGAGAGACTGGAGTCCCATTTACACACTGGCAAGAAAAATGCTGTTTGGAAGGATATGGGAAGCTGCATCTTAACGTCCAAGCTAATTAGCCACACCTAAATAGTTTACGAAGGCATTTTGCTCAATATGGAGTATTTCCCTTATTCAATAAACAGAAGAAAGTGTTGATCATCTATTGAAGCTTGGCATACTCGCCAAGCAAATGTCAATCCTTTTTTACACCATTCAGTTTCATGGGCTCTAATACCTTTTTCCTAAATTTTAATGTTGATTCCTACATGTTAAATGATGATCCATTTCTCACATGCAATATTGACATAGATCATTCACTCAGCTAATTGAGAATGTTTCCCTTTATCAACAGTTTTTCATGGTTCAGGGGCACAACATCTCTTTCTAAAAAATAATTAGAAGGTGACTCTAGCCTTTTACCAGATTTGAGAGATTTGAAGAAAATAACTACCTTTGCAAAAATTGCATTTGAAGTCAGTCTTTCTAAAAGATAAAGATAAAGAATTTTCCAGAGAAATAAGGGGGGCAGGGGTCATGGATGGAAGAGAACTTCCATTTATTGAGTACCCATTATAAGCCGGAAACTGTGCTTGGAGTTTTACATGAGTTTTTTCCTTTAACACCATGAGGTGTTTATTTATTTGCATTCTGTGGTAAAACTGAGGCCTGGAGAGGTCAAGTAACTCATGCAATCAGCTGATGGATGCTTGGCCTGGGCTCTAACACCAAGTCTGTTGGACTAGATGCCATGCTCCTTCCATTTCACTGTACTTTGCTGCTTCAGTTGGCAAGATCAATGGGGTCCCCATACTCTGAGCGTTGCAGCAACTCAGTGATCAGAGCTAGTTCAGATTCAGAGTTCCCTTGACTGTTTTCTCGGTGGTGTTGATAGAGGCGTGGGAGGCTCTTATCCCATGTAACTTTGATCTCTCACCCATGGTCAAAAGCAGGCAGTCTCTTAGCGTGAGGCTGAGATACTGAAAAGCTCCGTGCACTCTTACACAAAGAAGCAAGACTATCACTGCTTCCTATCAGTGTTGCTCTTTGTTTTCTCTTGGTAGCTGGGATTTTGTTCTAAGGAAGGACACTATTATACATTTTCCTCTGTGCTACTCACACATTTGCTGATAGCTACTCAACCAAGTACACGAATTACTGAAAGGTTCAATCACCTATTATTTTAGACTATTACTCATAGTAATAAACTGTTGGGATATCTACTGAAGAGAGACCAACAAAGCATCATAAAAGCAGCATTCCTTTGCTTATACACATTCATAAAGATCAGCGCTAAGAAGAATTTCCATATTGCTTTGGATGTTAAATTTCCCTAAACATACATAGTCCAATTTTCTCAGGCCACCCTTCAAAGGACTATCTAGTTCTTTTAAAACAAATAAAAAATATGTGTAGCTCAGTATTGAGAGGGAAGACTGGTCTCAGGGATTCTTTTGTTTTTACAAAATATATTGGCATTTCCTCCTACCAAAATACCTATGACTTGTCCAGGAAGAAGCATCTTGATCCAGAGCTATCTGAATTATTTTTCTAGCTTCAGTTAGCACTCTTCAGGAAAAAGTCAGCCTCTTGAGCTCCAGCCTTCATATCTTGGGGCACTGTCTGAGATGACCTAGATAACCTGAGTGAGGCAGGATGGACTAGAAAAGGCAGGTTAAGGAGTTACCTCTCCTACAAGGGTGAGGCAGGCAGTGGGGGCACAGGCCCAGCTGCAGGCGCTGGAAGTGAGTCCAGTCCAAGAGCAAAGGAAGTCTGCATCTGACCTGGTTGTTGTCTAGCCAGAAGGCTGCCAGCTTGGGGCTTGATGCCAAAGGAAGTATCCAGAAGCTGTCGGAGATTGAGAGTTCCAGACCTTTGCCTGAGGTTCAGGAGCAGCCTGGGGACTGAAAAATAGGATCAAGGTGAGCTTTAGTTCTAGAAGAACCCATAATAGTTAAATTACCAAGGAGAAGAAACAGAAAAGGGCAGCAGTTACAAGACCAATGAATACGGTGGGAACAGGTCTTCCAAGCCTGGGTGTCAGACCTAAAGCAGACACTGAATTCCAGGCTTAATTTCCTTAAGTCAGTCCTGAATAATGTTGGGCCTGGGGAGTTCGGATGTAGGGAAGGGGTTGTCAGAATAGCTGCATTTGGAGCCCAGGGACCCCCTAGGAGGACAACATCAGGGACTGGGGAAAAGGCCATGGGGACAGGCTGTATTCACTGAGGTTGTACATCTGTGTTTCAGGAAGTCAGTCTGGAAAGAAAGGGCACAGGTACTCCAGATGAGGGCTCTGGGAAAAACATGCCTTCTTTCTATTGCTGTTGGCTCTTCTGAGGCTGTGGAGATCTACCTCTTTTGTTCTCCCTGGGACCCTATTAAAAGGTTTCTTGTGTTCAATTTGTATGTGGTTTTCCCATTCCTATGGGTTTCCTGAAAATTCGAATACGGGTTTCAGATGACCCAGTAATAATTTATAGATACCATGGCTCAATGACTTTGCCCTGGAGACTCCTACCTCTTAGAGAGTCTGCTACTTGTTGAATGTTGAAGGATCCAGCAGAGCAACACAGAGCCAAAACCACATATGGAGTTAGAGCCCCATATGGCACTAGAGTGGAATTAATTGGAGTAGCAATTGCCATTCTATTTCACATAATTTTGTGTTTTTTATTCCATGGAATTTTAGCCACAAGAACGTTATTCACAGGATGTGTCTGTGGCATGTTTTGCACTGACGAACAAAAGGGAACACTGCAACGACCATGATGCAATTACACTTCCTTCTGCACAACTTCATCCATGCCTGACATGTGGAATCTGCCCAGGACTGGCTGTGAACCCTGCAAAACCGCTGTACGATAAATTATTGTCATCATGCCTCAGAAGGCTGTGTCACATTTGCCTGCAACCATTGTACAGACCTACCTTTTAAAAATAGATGTGTTTTTGCACTCTTGAAACTACTTATTTTCTTACTCTTTGTCACAACCAGCCTAGTTTAAGCTGACGGTAAAAAGAGGTTTTGGAGGTTTTCCACCACAAGGTTATTTAAAGTTCTTTGAGCTGCCGCCAGACCTTCATTTAGCATTTTAATAAACTTCCTGGGCCAAGGAGTAATTTTCCTGTATCCTCTTTGTCCTCAGCATGAAGTAATAGTACAAAAGAGGGTCATCATTTTTAGGCCAGTCATCTGCATGAATTATAAAATTATCCTTACGAATAACCAGATATAAGGTCTGGGATAGAGAAAAGGCGATCAGACTTTTTTCTGTGGTTAACATTAAAAAGGGGTGGTCATAGACACATCAAGGGTTTAAGAAAGTGCCAACAGAAATATTTTTCACACAGATAGTTAGAAAGGACTTTAAAAGAAACTGCACATACAGTCAAGTTACAGGAAGATAACTAGAATTAAATTGCCTCAACTTTTGCTTGCTGGTGGTGTCCTTATCTGGAGCCTCTCTAAAGGCAGAAGTACCAATAGACTCCCATGTTTACATGGTGATATGGAAATCGGCCTCCAAGACAGTTGTAAGGCTCCCCAGAGAATTCTTTGGAAACTGCATCTCTGGGTGCGGTGTGATGTCACTTTTCAGTGTTTCTAGGCATTGTGCCAAAACTCAGTTTCAGGAAAATAATTGCAAAAATGTTTAAATAATTTGCATGATGTTTCTGAAAGCAAAGGAAAAGCTGCCTGCTCCATTCCCAAAGGAGATTTCAAGACACAATCAATGTTGGGCCACAAAAACACTGTTTAGACAGAATAATTATCAGCCCTTCCCTTCTCTTTCATTATTAAACTGAGGTCTATTCCCTCTGAGGGTTTCACCTGGCATATGGAAAGACTGTTTTGCTAAGTCCCCTTTATGGATGTTCAAACAGGCTAAGTAAATTCAGAGTTTACTAAATTGGCTCTTTCATGTACATCATTTGACATGAAGTTGCTTCTACGTCATGATTAGCTTTTTTGTTTCTATTTCATGTTATAATCAAGTATGATGGAATTATATAGGATGGTTTCAAACTACCAGAATTCTTGAAAATGTATCCCAATGCTGAGTTCATTTCATTCATTATTGACACCTTTAAACTGAGCTCAAAGAACCCTAAGTGACAGGGTCATCAAAACAACACACAGAAGGATGCAGTGGGTGGAATCGTATTAAGACAAAAAAGTGAAGTCGTGTTTAAATTGTGTTACAGCTTTCAATGCCCAAATTACAGTACAGTTATTTCTTTAGGGATCTACTTAAAGTACTGTTTGAATTGAATCAAAGTTATTTTTATAGAGATTCTTGAAATGACATTTTGTGATTTAAAAAGACATGGCTATTCTATATATTGTAGTTTATTGAATTTGATAGTTTAGGAATGAATACATTGAAAAGTGGCACTGTTAGAGTGCACACCAATACAATTTTACTCTCTCCCCTACCCCCATACTGCCTATTCAAACGCACTCTGTGCAACCAGTTTTTCCCCTGCCTTGTAGAAGGCACTACAGTATTAGGATAGATAGATAGATAGATAGATAGATAGATAGATAGATAGATAGATAGGTAATAGATAGATAGATGTATATACATACTTAGCTAATAAAATGGCTTTGGACACTTTTAATCTAAAAAGGCTAATGTTACTAAATAATGCCTAGTTCTGTGTAACTGTTAAAGACATTAATTTGAAGTTAAGCACCTTTTCTTACTTCGGGCCTTTAGCGGAAAACAGGGTGAAGTTAGCTTCTTCTCTTTTGACTCTGCCTTCTTTTCCTTGCCACTCACTGTGATTTCTGACCCCACCAGAGTTGGGATGTGAGTGAGGGAAAGACGTAAGGAAACAGGCAAAGATTTACTTGACTGGTACACTCTTTTTTTTTTCTTTTATTTATTTATTTTTGGCTGTGTTGAGTCTCGTTGCTGCGTACAGGCTTTCCCTAGTTGCAGCAAGTGGGGGCTACTCTTCGTGTGGTGTGCGGGCTTCTCATTGCGGTGGCTTCTCCTGTTGTGGAGCACAGGCTCTAGGCGCGCGGGCTTCAGTAGTTGTGGCTCATGGGCTCAGTAGTTGTGGCATGAGGGCTCTAGAGCACAGGCTCAGTAGTTGTGGCACACGGGCTTAGTTGCTCTGCAGCATGTGGGAGCTTCCCAGACCAGGGATCGAACCTACGTCCCCTGCACTGGCAGGCAGATTCTTTTTTTTCTTTTTTTTCTTTTTTTTGCAGTACGTGGGCCTCTCACTGTTGTGGCCTCTCCCATTGCAGAGCACAGGCTCTGGACGTGCAGGCTCAGCGGCCATGGCTCACGGGCCCAGCCGCTCCGCAGCATGTGGGATCTTCCCGGGCTGGGGCACGAACCCGTGTCCCCTGCATCGGCAGGCAGACTCTCAACCACTGCGCCACCAGGGAAGCCCATGGCAGGCAGATTCTTAACCACTGCGCCACCAGGGAAGTCCCTTGACTGGTACACTCTTGATGTGTTGACACTCTTCAGACTTGGTGAATGTTTACACCTGACTTTTTCCCTCATGAGCTCATCTATAATTTTTTTTGAGACTCCCACATCATTGGGTATCTCTTACCTGGAATGTCCAGCAGAAATGTATCTCCTCAAAGTGGTCTTTTCTGATGCCTCCATTAGCTCTTGAGTATCTAGCAGAAAACTTGTACCTCTTTATGCTGAGGTCTCCTCACTCTCCAGGTGATCCTTCTGGGCAGAATCTTAGACAACTCTGGCCTGTTTTGCTCATCCATAGCTTAGTCTGGTCCACAAAACACTGATCTGGTGTCAGTTATACTATAGTTATTCCCCTCTGCATTGTGGCTAAAGGTAGCTTAAAGCCTGAGCCAGTTTATATTTTTTCAGACCTGTATCAGACATGCAGTCCAATACTAGGAAACACATAGGATACTTTCTGGGTGGTCCCAAAAGAGGTCCTCTCACATTTGAGGTGAAGAAGTATCTCCCATCCTACCTAGTTTTTAGACTGTTAGATTCTCAGCACAACTCTCTCCAAATACATCCTCTCTCTTGACCTCTCTAATCTCTTTTTTCAGGGTAGAGTTGGTAGTTTTTACCAACTCTTTTGGAAGTTCTTCTTAGGTGGCCTCAAAACTCACTTTGGAATGTTGCTGTAGAAGGAATCCAAAACTACCGCAAATGACTATGCAGTTTGTACCCCACACAAAGATATCAAGCTACAGGGATGAGTGAGTGCTGAATTACAGCCATTCCTCCTCTAGCAGCACAGGGTGCCAGAGGGGCACTTTACTGCAATTCACCTACCCAGTGGGATTGCTTTTCTGCTAATTTGCACAAAGGCACCTATTGCCTTGGATCCCTGGTTGAAACTGAGACAGAGTCCCATGTGAAATCCCATTTCATTTAGATGAGTTACAGGATTAGCTTTTCTCTACATGAAAACCATCTACAGATATTGATGACACCTGTGACAACTGTTCAACAGCATGTCAAAAAATTACCAGGAGGCCAAAGATGTCATCCTGCCACTTTTCATTCAAACAAAATATCATATTTTTAGAGTTTTTTTCAACAAGAGTTCCAAGATACTTCAATGAGGAAAGAAAAGTCTTTTCAGCAAAAGGTGCTTAGACAACTGGATATCCACATGGAAAAAAAAATGACCTCTACCTCACACTGTGTACAAAAATTAACTTCAAATGGGTTATAGACCTACATGTAAGAGCAAAAACTATACAGGTTTTAGAAAAAACATAGGAGCAAATTTTGAGGCCTTGGATTAGGTAATGGTTTCTCAGATATGACACCAAAAGCACAGTCTACCAAAGAAAACATAGATCAAATGGACTTAATCAAACTTCAAAAGTTTTGTGCTCCAAAGGACACCGTCAAGGAAGTGAAAAAGCAATCCACAGAATGGGAGA